ACATGTCCTGTCAATTTCTCAAAAAGTTCAGTGAGCACCCTACTATCTACAGCAAGAAGTCAGAGCAGCTGTGCCAGATGACGCCCGGAGATATTTCATCGATTTCTGGATTCTACCTGTGATTACTTACGCGGGACCAGTGATCCCAAGATGGACTGTGCTGAGATCCGGTTACTCGACGCAGTTTTTGACTAGAAACTCGCATCAGTGGTATCAATCACAACACTCTAGCTTCGACTTGTTGACAAAGTGCTTCACTACTATCAGTCTTGGCAAAAGGACTCTTCTCGATATGGACCTTTTGTTGTAGTCATTATCTAGATGTTTCCAGACATAAAAACTCCGTTTGATTACGTGCACATATATACAAGAATTGAAACCTATAAAAGATCCACTATTCCATTATCTACTAGAGCTCTTCAAAATATAGAACCAGGTCAAAGGATCTAATTGGACGTGTTGACCTGCATGAATCAGCTGATAGGCTGTGCCGAACACTGAAGCAAAACTTTAACAAAACAACAATAAACCCGACGAAGCTCAAAACTGAATGACGAAATGCGCCTGTTCAGACTTGCGTCTAAGCAGACAGTAAAGATATGTATTGCAAAATAACTAACTCCAAAATAAAAGAAGAGCAGTGTAGCTTAAGATCAGGCCGAGGCACCTTTGACCACACGTTCATCTTCAGAAACATTGTTGAGAAATGGTGAGAGTTCGCTCATCCGGTTTAAATTTGCCTTGTCAACGTAGAAAAAGCTTATGACTGGATCCCGCACAACAATCTATGTGCGGCCTACAAATATAGAGGATCAATTGCCAGTTGCTACGAGTCAGCCGGTAACTATATATTGATAGCAGGTGTTCTTTCAGAGTGAATGGCGTCATGTCGAGATATTTCAGCGTTGGCACTGGTCTTCGCCAAGGCTGCGTTCTGTCCCTCTCCTGTTTATGTTTTACAGTAAGGGAATGATCTGGTGCAGTCAGGGCGATTAGTGTATCAGCGTAGGAAATGTAAAATCAAAAAAGTTGCTGCTTGCAAACGACTTTACTTTGCTAACATCTAAAGTTGATCTCCAGCGCTCTATAAAAAGATTCGCAACCAAGTGCGACGTGACCGGCATGTGAATGGACGTATCTAAAGCTCCGGTGTTTTCTCGTTCTCCTGCCCGCTGCATTCTGCAGCCACACGGAGAAGAAGTGAAGAGGTGCATAAATTAATGTACCTTTGCGTCATGTTTGCTACTGAAGGGAAATGGTAGGCAGAGGCGTACAAGAATAGAGTCACCAGAGACGTTCTGAGTGAACTGACCCGAATCGCTGTAACTAAGGCAGAGCTGAGTCTGAAGACAGATTTATATGTTAAAGTTGATTCTCATTCCCATGATGAACCACGGTCATGAATCGAGCCATGACTGAAAATCTCTGATCTCGAGTAGAACGGCTGAAATGGGCTCTCTGACACGAACTGCTTGGCTTACGAATCACGACAT